TTCCTCCTGTTCTGATTCATCAAATCCTGTCTGAGGATTCTCCCTAGGGGTCCAGACTTTGATGCTATCAGAGCACAGCTGTTGGCTGGATGCCTGACCCAGGACATTTTCCTCCTCTTCCTCCTCCTTTTTTACTGTCACCGGGCCCCAAGTGGTCAGGGCCACAGCCTCTTTTAGCTCTGCAGTCATCTTCTTTGTTCAGATGCAAACTTATACAGCTGGGGGCAGCCCAGCGGCAGTCCAGCCCCATCTAATCCTCACGTTTCAAAAACGTCTTCTTACGTTTCTTCCTAGGTTCAGGATGAGTCTGTCTACAGGGGAAAGAGGAAAATATTGTCAGTACCAAGCAGAGGTTTGCCTGGAGGCCAGGTAGCCTATGAAACAATTTTGCAAAAGCCCAGGGAGCTGCTTCTCTAGCCCAGGGAATGAGCTGCTCTCTCTCCCCTTACCCGATGAAAGGGGTTGGGCATAAGGATTAAACCTGTCTTCACAATAATTATACTGCAAATAGAGTGATGCACTTTATTTCTGATTATAAAACTAAAATTTTTATTGTAAAAATAGAAGAAGTACAAAGAATGATTATGAAAGATCACAAAGATAACTACTGTACATCATTGGTAAGTGCTATCAAGTTGAGTACAAGTCATAGCAATACTACAAAAGATCTGAACTCTGTTCTATCCTGCACCATCCTCCCAATTCCCAACACACAAAAAGCCCACTGCAGCAGTCACTGTGTCAATTCGCCTGGTTGAGGGTCTTCCTCTCCTTTGCCGACCCTCTACCCTTCCCAGCATCATGTCATTCTCCAAGAAACAGCCCCGCCTAGCAACATGCCCCAAGTATGTGTGGTAAAACCTCATCATTCTGCCTCCACAAAAGCACTCTGGCTGCACCCTCTCCTAGGCATATCCGTTTGTTGTCTTGGCCATCCATGGGATGTTCAATGCTCTTCTCTAACACCACAGCTCCAAATATTTTAAGAAAAAGTTCCTATCACACTAAAAATTGTTATCAACTTTGGGTTGTTTTTTTTTTACTTTTGTACTAAGATATTTGAGTGTGGAGGAAACAATCTGAAGGAAAAGACAAGAATTCTCTAGGCAATGCATTTCAAATAAATATCTCTGGGTAGTGTAATTTCAGGTCACTTTGAGCAGGACTTGGAATCGGTTCATTTAGAGTATGTGCCGTCACCTTCCATCGAGGTTTCTAAGGTTGTAAATTGCACTGGAGCAAACGGCCCATCTTTCTCAATTGCAGCAGCTGGTGGATTCAAACTGCCTGCCGTTGGGTTGGCACTGTATTTCCTTATCCACTAGGCCATCTCTGCTGGTAACACAGAGAGTCAGCAGGTCGGATAAAGACTCTCTAAAAGATGGATTGACAGAGGCTGCAAGACAATGGGTGCAAACACAAGATGGCAAAGGGCCCTGCAGTGAATCATTCTGTTGTACAAGGGGTTACTTTGAGAAGGAGCGAATTCAACAAGCATCAAACAACATTAATTTGAGCACAGCCACGCCAGCTGAGCTTAGGATTTTTCAAATTTGCTGAGTAGTGAGGAGTTTTACTATTTTAGTTGATTATGAAAACATTTAAATATCTCTTTCTAGTTTCCTTTAAACTCAGGTCACCTAGCGGCAAGAAGCTGCACTTGTAATCCTGAAGGCAGGTGGTTCGAATCCCACCAGCTGTTGCGCAGGAGGATGAGCAATCTCCTCCCTTGGAATTAACTGCCTCTTAATATCCGCTTGAAGGTCAGCTATAGGTCAGTTCCTAGCGCGACAGTACACAACAGTTCCCTTTAGATGTTTAATTAGAACAAAGAGTCGCGTTTTTCTTAAACTCTCCGTTTGCAATTGTGAAGACCATATACTTTTCCCTATTGAAGTTATTTTTAATTTCAGATTACAATCCATTTCTCGGGTGATGTAATACTTTCATTCCAAATCTGGATTCTGGAGGATTATCTTTTCCATAACTGGATGAGTACTATTTTACAGGACGACCCTTCAGACTCGTTCCACCTTGTGTATGCGCGGGAGTGCCTTCTTCGAGTACTGTCATCAATTTCCAATGAGACCTAACTATGTCTGCATCCTCGGGCGGCACAGTACGAAAGTCTTCCCTTCCACTGCTTTCCCCATTTCCAAACGTGACAATCCATCGTCTCCATGGACTCCGCACCTGCCTGGCCCTGGGGCGGTGCACACCATCCTCCCCCGGGGCAAGGCCTCGGGGAGGAAGCGGCCCTGGAGCCCAGGAGGCGGGCTACAGAGCCCCGGGCCAGGGCTCGGGCCCCCGAGGGTTCTTGGAGAAGGATGCGCTGGGCAGCCCCGCGCGCCGCCGCCCCCGGGCCGGTCCCTCCTGCGCCCCCGACCCTCGTACCCGCTCACCGTGCACCCCGGGAAGGCCCAGCACGAGCTCCTTGGCTCTGCAGCAACAGGCCAATGGTCCGGGACCCCTGAGTCTAGGGGCACGAGAACAATGACCGGACAGGAAGTACCTCCGGACGGACTTCCGGCCCTCCAAATCGCCAGGCCGGTCTCTCTAGGAATCTCGGAGGTGCTTTCATCTCGATGGGTGTCAAGCCAGCTCCCAGTACAAGGAGCCGTTTGGAAGCGCGGGAAAGAGGATGCTTGCTGCTCAAGGTTTCCCAAGAGCACTATCAGGTGTTCTGGAATCCCCATTCTTCTCAGTGTTAACCTGAATGTGTTCCCCTTGATTGCATCTTGTTATTATTGCGTGCCGTCGAGTTGGAACCCACCCAGAGCTGACCCGCCGGCGGGTTTTCAACTGCAGTTCATGTCCCCGGAGGAACTTGTCCATCCTTCTCCTGAGAAGCTGGTGGATCCGAACCGCGTGTCTTCGGGATTACAGCGGAGCTTCTTGCCACAATCTCAAAATCAACAAGTCGACAGTCATTTTACATGTGGATTTTCTTAACCACCACCCTAGCCAAGCGTTTCAATTACCAGGACCTTGTTGCTGATTTGTAGATTCCCACATACATACCCCTCTATCCCCCATCCTTAGCCTTTGGCAGCCACTCACGTCTCACCTCTACTTTTGTCATTTGATAATGACATATGGACAAACTCGTACAGTATGTGACTTTTTTAGGTTTGCACTTTTAAGTCAACATAATTCCCTTGAAAACTAATCCATTTAGTTTGGGGTAGCTACAGTTTACCTTATTTTACTGCTGAGTGTTAAGTAGTCCATGGTATAGATATATCAATATAATTATACACCTATAGAAGGACATGTGGGGTGTTTCCTGGTTTTGAATGTCATAAAGGCGTTATGAACATGCATGCAGAAGGATTTCTGTGAGCATTCATTTTCATTTGTCAGGTATAAAGGCCCAGAAGTGCAATCATTGGATAATATGTAAGTACATGCTCAATGCTGTTTAAGAAACTGCCAGAGGTTTCCATCATGGCAGAACATTTTACATTCCCATCAGTGTATGACTTTTCAAAATTTTCGTCTTAGAGATTGTAATGCCTAAGTAGTGGTATTCCTTTGTGCTTTTAATAGCTTTAATATTTGTTCAATATTGAACATCTTTTCATGTTTGTCATTTATACTTGAAATGTGTTCATATCTCTGATCATTTTTATTTTTTTAGGGTTCTTATGTAACATAGACTTACAAAACCTAGGACTGCCAAGAAAACAAATAGGTCTGTCTTGAAGAGGGTGAAAACAAGTTTCTCCTTGGAGGCTAGGGTTTTGAAGCTCCGTCTTAACATACTTTGGGGACGTGGCCAGGAGTGACCTGTCCTCTCTGGAAAAGGACGTCATGCTTGGAAGGTCATGATTGTGGAGGGTCAGCCGCCCAAGAGAGGAAGACCCCTGATGGGATGGATTGATACAGTAATTGGGGCAATGAGGGTTGGTGTGCTGGAATTAATGAGACATGATGGGCAAGGTTCAGAGTTGCTGTACATAGGGTCACTATGGGTCACAATAGCACGTAACAACACTATAACCTCGATACAAACCCTTTGTCAAATGATTTGTAGATATTTCCTCCTAGTTTATACCATTTTATTATCTTAACAGGCTCTTCTGTGGAGCAAACTCATTTTAATGGGGTTCAATTTACCAATTTCTTTTAATGGGTTATAATTTTAGTGGCAAGTCTAAACTTTTTGTGTATCCCTAGGTCCTGAGGATTTGGCCCCTATTTTTACCACAAGCTGTACAGTTTGAAGTTTCTAGAGGGTGATGTTTGAGTACAGGAGTTGTTTTTGGTTTTGTCTGTGAATATCCATCTGATTGCTCCTGTAATTTTTTAAAAATAATTATTTCACCATGTATTATTACTTTTACACCTTTGTAGAAACCAATAGATTTTTGAGTAAGTCTATTTCTGGCTCTTCATATAGTATAGATCATTATCTTTAATAAACAACAACTCTCATCTTTCTATATATTTTATTATAGAACATTTAATGCATACATAAAAGCAGAGGACAGGATCACGAATTCCTCAACCAACTTCGTCACTCCATCACCTGGCTCTT